GAACCCCACTCCACCACAAACCCGATAGAACTGATCAAAATTATATAATGTGGAACGTAATAAAAATCGTTTGGATCAAATCAATACCTGCGCTAGATTAAAGCAAATGATATCCTTTCAAACTATATATTAGGATAAGAATAAGCAATTTTTAGATCGCGACAAAACTGTGGCTGTGCCAGTTGGAAGACGAGCTGTCAGTTGGAAGACAAGCTACTATCTGTTGGCATGACCATATGATAAGGTAGAACAGGCTGGTGGTTAACGAGTAGGTACCCTACATGTCGGAAGGGTTGAAGGAGCCAGCACACCCTTAAGGTGTACGGAAGAAATGATAGCGTGCAAAATACGTATAAAAGACAATAATTTGACTGATAGAGAGAGCGTCTAAGACCTCTTCTACAATCCTATCGGTCCATAGTTATAAGAACGTAATATTCATTCTTTTATCGTCTCCAGGAGAAGGCTTCTGAGTTCCATGCTAAATTCGACGCCAATTCGTGAGACGAAACTATCGACACACCAAAAAAGGACCGTTTCACTTTTTCTTGTGACTTTGATTTAAATATGAGATATACAAATTGCATTCAAGCTGAAGAGCACCAAGCAACTAGATATTTTATGTTAATATTCTAGATCACAGATCTATATTGGAATCAGTAGTATTCGTAGTCACTTGTCTTCGTTGCTATTCTCCTCGTCGCTGCTGTTTGCCGCCATGTCTCGAGCATATCGTAGAAAGCCATGTCGTCACCGTCGAAATTCTTTGCGTTGAAAAAAAGAAATACCAAATTCTTGACAGGAGGCGTCCCTGAGGCGGTTCCGAACTTGGGAGTGCAATGAACTTGTGCGCTGACCAATTGCGCTCCGCTGCCGCGCAAGAACAACTGGAGGCAAAAACCGTTAAGACAATGTCTTGCAACAGCGGGAACTCAGAGAGACCCTGCCAGTATTGGCGCACAGTCAACTGTTTTATCGCAAGGAGTCGCGCTTCCAAAGAAGTGTCGCGCGAACCTCCAAGGAACTTCACGAGCTGCACCATCGTGCCGTCCCGATCGGCCCCGTGTCACATTCCGACGAAGTATTTGACACTTCCCCGCGTTTCATCATCCATACCCTTTCCAAGGTAGCGAGGATCCAACACGTACCCCACACCGTGCGCGTACCCGTAAATGAAGTTGAAGCGTTTGTCGAGAATCTGTTGAATCTTCGGAGATCGGCATCTCCAGCTTGCAATACTCTTCTGGTAGAGTGAGGAACATGTGGTAAACGTCGGATGGAGGCTTGGCGTTCTTCTCAAACGCTTTTCGAACTTGGAGATGACTTCCAGCAGCTTGATCGCTTTTTCCAGCTGCTTGACAAAGGTTTTTGCCACCACTGTGTCATACGCGTGACGTCGCTTGGCTTTCTGCTCCTTGGTACGAGCGCGGAGAAATCCCCGTGACGAGACAAATGCATGTAGAATCATCTCCGAATCGCGAATGGTCGAAAAACACCGCTCGATAGTTCCCCCAACGCGTATCTGCTGGCAGCACCAAACTCAACTTTCCCTCCATGGATTTAAGACGCCCCAGTTCAAACCACAGCTGCTGGATCTTCCTCAAGAAGCGAACGAGCTTTCGGCAATCTGCTGCGAGCTGTCCTAGCCATGGGAGCCGATCAACTAGATCCTTCACTACCAGATTAAACGCATGGGAAATACAGCCGTAGAAGAAGACCTTGGGCTTCTTCTGTTGAAGCGTCGACCAAACCAGCTGATTGTTGTTGGTTGTTTTTTTGTCAATAATGGACCATTATTGACAAAAATATATTGAGTATTGATCAAAACTCAATATTTTGGTTTTGAGTCCATTCGAACCCTATCCCTTGATCCACAAATGATGAATACATTTTTTTAACCCATCCAAAAGGTGGATTTTGAAAAGTGTATCCATTTATTGTGGGTGAATTGTCAGAATTTATTGGTCGTAAGCTAGTTTTTGTAAAATGATCAGCAAATGTTGTCAATTCACCCAGAATTGGATGGATACATCTTTCAAAAACCCACAAAATCCATCAATTTTGGGTTTAAATGGGCGGGTGTTTTTGATCAAAATGTATCCATCCATTTGTGGAAATAAATTTAACTCATCCCAAAATGTATCCATCTATTTAGAATCCAAAGGTGCTCTATTTCAAACTCTATTTACCTCATTGGACGATTTATATACACTCTATTTGTCTACCCAAAAAATCTCTAATTGCCGGTTGCAATCATTGTAGCTCAGTTGAGAGCCTCGAGCCAGGCAAGCGTATCCTCGGCGCCTCCTTCCTCGGCATGCTCCAGCGCCTGTTCCACGGAGCACGAAGCGCGCACGTAGTCGTAAAGAAAGTGGGCAATCTCCAAGTGGTCCATGTAGGCAGCGGCGTTGAATGCCTCGAAATTATTGCAGACCTCGCGGTGGTGTTCGGTGAGCCATTGGACCGCCGGAAGATGGCCGTTCGTAGCCGCCAGCTCTAGTGCCATTGGTGTCCAGCGTGAGTCACCCGTTGTCGGTTCTTCACTCTCACTGGATTCATTGTCGACAGGCTCCTCGTCCTCGACGTGGTTTATGCGGTCAAAGTGCAGCCAACGCAGGACATGCACGAACCCCTGGCGGGCAGCCTCGTTCACTGCCTTGGAGCTGGTCTGCCATTCGCGCGTAGTCTGTTCATCACGCAGGTACTGAAGAATGTCAACGTGACCGGCGACAGCGGCAGCGTCCATTGCAATAGTCGACGCAGGCGAGCTCTGTTCGTACAGCTCACGGAAGTTTGCGACCAGCCACTCGACGCAATTGCGGTGGCCGCCTTCGACGGCTGCAACCAGCGCGTTCATTGCATCGGACTCGACGGTTAGGTTCACTAGTTCGTTCTCGTACAGGTACATGAGGACGTCACTGTGTCCATTGCGCGCCGCCTTCTCAATGGCCTCAACGGTGCAGGCAGGCAGGTGTCCGTCGACACTCATAGGCAACGCCGTGGCGTGGTCGTGAAACCACTTGAGGATGCCGACCTGGCCGTATTCTGACGCAACGTCCATCCACGACCCAGCAGCCTCCTCGCACTTTAGCGACTTCACCGGGAGCACAGCAATGAGCCAGGTCAACACCGCGGCTTGGCCGTTTGCAATGGCGGCGTGTACCATCTTGGGGCCGACACTCTCGAACAGCTGGGGAAAGTGCTCACCGAGGTATTCGAGAACGTACAGGTGTCCACCACGAGCAGCATTTACCATGGCGCTGGACGTGCACTCCTCCTTGCGCACTTCGCAGAGCCAGCGCACGATATGCAAATGGCCTTCCGTGGCCGCGTAGTTCACAGCGCTCGGCGTGCAGCCCTCAGAGCGGTTGTCGTTGAGCCACTGCAACACGTGTAGCTGACCGTTCTGTGCCGCCAAGTCCATCGCGCGACTGGTGCAGCCATCTGCGCGGTTCGTGTGAAGCCACTGCACAACCGGAAGGTGGCCGCTGCTAGCCGCGTAGTCCATGGCCTTGGTGGTGCATCCCTCACTGCGGTTTGCGTGCAGCCACTGAACGATAGGAAGGTGTCCGTTTTTGGCGGCGTCGTCCATGGCGCGCGTCGAGCAGCCGTTCAACTGCTCCGTATTGTGCAGCCAAGTGAGGATGTCCAAGTGGCCGTTACATGCCGCAAAGTCCATGACCAACGAGCTGCTGTCCTCCAGCGGCGTCTTGGGGGTCGTTAGCGCCAGATGCTGCACAAGGAACTTCATGCCCTCCGCCGCCGCGCGCTCCAGCGTCCACCCGCTCGAGTAGTCGAGGTACTCATTCATGGCTCCCCACACGTGGGACAGCTCACTCATGCCGTCGCGGTTGGTACACACGAGCCTAGCCGCCGTCAGCACCATCTCGATTCAGTCGCGTCGTTGGTTGCTTGAGGAGACCTTGTCGCAATTGAAGAGAGTGGAAGGCCAAGTCCACTCGGTGGTGATGCGGCGGCTGGGAGGCGAAAGCGGAAGTGATCGAAATTAGCATCATGCTTCAGCTTCAGGCTGAAGTTCAGCCACCGATGTCGACGCATAGCCAACGCGCCCTTTCGCTTTTGTCGCAGATAAACCAATCACGTGCGTAGGCCAGTCGATGCATCGTTGACCGGGAAACTTGCCACGCACTTGGACTCTGTACCATAGGAATCTGGTGGCCAGAGACTCAAGACAGGCGGGCAAGATTTTTTTTTAACATTTCAAGTCCTCTGTGGCATATGCAAGCTGCAGTGCAACCGTCCTCATGAAGAATCCTTGTGAAAGTCTCGCTTGTGGGAGTTACCAGCATCGAAGTCAAATCTGCTGAGCCTCGAGGCCTCGGCACAGATTCTCAGACACAGATTCTCAGATTCGTTGGCAGCTGGAGGTTATAGGCGGGGTCTGCTGCTTCGTAAATCGCCGTAGTCGTCGACACAAATCCTCGGTCTCTGATCTAAATCAACGGTCTCTAGCTCCATTTTAGTAAACCTGTATTGCAAAGCTATGAAATGCGCAGGTTGTACAAGCTACAACGTTTCGTGCCTGGTCCACTAATTCACCGTCGAGACGTAAACTTCTACATCACGGGCGTTTGTCGTGGCTGTGGGGCAGCAATAATGTATGGTTCCTCCCGCGGTTCTGGCCTTGGGGGGAGGGGGTAGCTTGCCATGAATAAAACCCACGGTTGATGATGATTCAGCGATGAGTCTCCGCGACAGCACCAGGATGTCTTAGGGGACGCTGCAGCCTAATGAGCGGACGATAGATGAATCTGCCGAGTGAAAGAATCGTGGACACCATGTACAGCCGTGCGCGTAGCCTAACTCAATCGATCGCTGAGAAGCTCGTTCTTCATGCCGCGCGTCCTCCGCTCAGCGATCCGGTCGAGTAAAATAAGTCAGCACTTTTGTATGATTGCTCGATTATGCTGGGTTGCATTGAAAACAGCTTTTCAAACTGGATCGAGTTGTCGATCCCGAATTCATTTTGTCGGACCTCCTCGAAACAGAACCATTAGAGCAGCGGCTTGCTGTTCGTTATAACAACCAAGCGTTAACTATACGAGTCACTTGTGCATGAATCAATGAGCGATCAAGCGTAAAACACGATTGGCAAGTGATAGCAGAATCTGGTTGAGTTGCGTCTTGATAATCTGTCCCAAATGAAAGAATTTTTCGAAGCTAAAACTGAATTACATCGGACACATCTTCTGAAGATCGGCTTTCGAATATTGTCCAATCCAATCCAATATTCAGCAATTTGTTTACCAATCAGATCTCCAATTAGCTCTAGTCGAGATCTTTCATACAGGCATTCCGCATTCTTCTTCGTGGGTTGAATATTGATCAACACGCAAGATCGCAATGGCGGTGTGGAGCTCCGCAGCCTTCCTGGGCATGTTCGGCGACCCGTACCTGCGGGGCACGCCGTACGAGGCCGGAGGGGACCCGCAGGCGCTTGTGGGCGCGCTGAGCGGCCTCTCGCAATTGCTACAGCCGCAACAACAACCCGGCAACGAGACAGATCCCGTGACGTTTTCACTCACAGTCGAACAGGAGCGCGTGCTTCAGACGACAGTGCTGCCTCAGCTGGCATTCTGTGGGCAATGGGCTGAGAATGGCGCCAAGGTTGAGGATGCCGTCCAGTTCCAGGCGTTTTTGGCCGAATGGAAGGCCGAGCTCGCCAAGCTTCAGATTGGGCAGCCCGTTATGGTGCCCGGCGGTTATGTGGGCAACATTAACAGCCACTCGATCATCTACGTAGTGGAGAAGACGAATGACGCAGAGTATTCATTTACAGTGTGCAACAAAGGCCCAGGAGCCGAGATGTACCACCCGTGTAAGGTTGAAGGAGACGCCGAAAAGATTCGCGTGCAATCTTGCATTCAAATCGGTGCTATTCTGGCCACTCGCTTCCTGGACATGGCCTTCTGGACGTTACTGTTCTCGCTCTGGATGCGCAAACCCCCGTCTGAGTACCATCGAGTAGAGACCATCTACGACGTACTGCTTCCCTGGCTCGCGGGCGATAAATTGTTGCCGTTGGCGAGCGAGATGACAGAGAAACGTGCGCCGGCCGACTGGACAACTGCAGCTCTTGGTGGTGTGCACACGGCCCAGCGTAGTCAGCTGGGCTTCTGCAAGAGCGTTATCGAAGCGATACGGTACTTATGTCTGCGTAGTCGAGCCTTCACGAACGACGAGGTGGAGTATGCTATTTTGTACAAGTTGCGCTACCGTTTATTCCAGCAAGTCGTCAAGGATTTGGAAATTGCCCAAAGCCCCGCAAAGGCGATCCCGGAAGGCACGCTGGACACTGCGCTGCGAACACTGTCCACCATTTCGCTGCAGGATTCACTGCAGGGCACTCATACGGTGGCAGATATCGATCCAGAGGCTGTCGTTGGCATTTATTTCACGCTGTCTAAGTCCGTTGCTTGCCGTAAGTTGACTAAACTGCTGACAGTATTAAGCGAGAGCCTGCATGCTGCGGGAAAGAAGTTCGTTGTTATCGTAGTGTCCGTCGACCAGGAACAAGCTGATTATGCAAAGCTCGTGGAGGGGTTGCCGGGACACACATGGCTCATGGTTCCATTCCCAGAAATGGAGGCTCGGAAGCAGCTCATCCAAACGTTTGGTGTTACGAAAGTGCCCCAGCTCATTTTGCGAGGATCTGATGGGACTATTTTGACGCCCATGGGAAAGGAATTGGTCATGTCGGATCCAACTGGCGAGTTTTTCCCGTGGTCAAGCGAGGAGTTTGCGTTACCAAAGTCAACCCTATCAGTGTCCGAAACGAAATGCATTGCTATGGGAGTGAAGCAAATTGGTCTGAAAACGTTGAAACATCATGAACGTAAGAACATTCAAGCTCATGTTCTTAGCCATGTGAATAAGCTGATGAGCCAGACAGAAGAACTCATTGAGGCGGTAGGGGTGGCTGCTAGCTCTGAAGGCAAGAGTAAGCACGAGACGGCTACATTGGGTAAAACGCTCCCTTTTGCGCCTCACGCTAACGTGGAACTGCTTCAGCTCCAAGGGAAGGAAAGTGAGTATGCGGGAAATGCATCGGAGCTCGAAATTCCTGTTCTGAACAATTTCTTAGATGTGCCCGAGCGCGTCACGTCGATCGCTCTAGCTGTCGCGGCGTTTGTCAGATGCGAGGCTTTGTGTGAGTCATTACTGAAACGAGCAGCAGAGGGCTCGTCATCTTCCAGGATGTCGTTGCATCACGAAGTTATCCAGCTTATTACAAGTGTCCTGGTGGAGGTGCTACCGACGCCGGAGCCTATTAGCTCTGATGGGTTCGTGTCACCTACGTGCATGTGGCGGCAGCCAGTTACGAAGGACATGCAGCTTCGATGCCTACAGCATTTGCATTCCCTCCTGATGATTCTTGGATCCGTATGGCAATCGGTGGAGCAGCCAAGTCGCCAGTTTGACTCCGAACGCGCGCTTGCGGCGTTGTGTGTGCTATGCATATACGATGCTTTACTCCGCACCCCGGCAGCTGACGAGCCCCTTGAGATATCGCTGATGATGGAAGAAGGAGGTGGATACGTACTGGCGCACACTTTCTGCAAAGCTAATTTCTCGATTCAGAAGTTGACGTCAGCGATGGAATTTGCACGCCCAAACTTTTGCGTGATTCGGGGTCGAGTGCTTGCTTATTTCCACAGCCAAGATGCAAAGGGCAAGAGACAAGTTTTCGACTATCACATGCCGGAGGACAAGATTGAGGTAAAGAAGTATTCTACGACACTTCTGTTCTTCCGTCAGCTCATGGAGCGGTATCACTACCCGCTAATCGATCCAAACAATCAGACTCCGCCAACTGAAATGGAAGCGTTGATGGAGTGGTTCTGTAGTGATACCACGCCCATGGCAGACGACCATCCAGAAGTGGGGTTGACTCGTGATTTAGTCATGGTGGTGAAGTTTTTAGCTACGATGGAGACGAAGGAGGTCGAGCTGATGAGGCGCCGGACTGCGCACCAGCACTGGCAGATGTGGCAACTTTCGTTTGATGACTCATCTGCAACTCATCGACGAAACTTTTTCGGTATGCGAGGACTGAATCGAATTCTTCACGCTACGCTTAAGTGGGAGGTAGTTAACTTTCGTGGAAGTGACCAAGATATCGCTGATGTGGAGGTGGAAGGATTTATGGAAAGAAAGGTTTACTTCGGCGAGGGACCGGTCATTACAAGTCCTGCAAATCTGAGCGCTCTTCTTGTTAAAAGCTCGAGCAATGCGTCTGCAGAAGGCCTTCCTACTGTTATCACTGAAGATGATATCATGCATCTGACCGACCTGCCCACGTACAATGGGACGCTATCAGCGGAAGAGTCAGAGTACCTCATGAGCTATCTGACAGTGCCGTACACACGGATCCCACTTGTGGTGTCATTCTTTTCGTCGCGAGACCGCGTGACGTATTTGTTCAATCCGATGTTGCAGCAGCTGTTCCGCGCAGTTTTATTCGAGGGTGGAGACTGGGTGTCTGACGAGAAGGCTGAAGAGATTTCCCATATTCCGCTGCGGAAATCAAACCTCGTGATGCATGAAGAAGCCATTCAACGGACGTTTGATGCTCGAGTTCACCACCAAAAATGCGAAGACCATTTGGGCACGATGAACGGGCTACTTCTAAACGAATTAATCCACGCCCCAGAGGCGATTGTGGTCCCCCTGTTGAAGATGTTGGATGCTGTCAAGGAGCTGGGTGAGGCATCAGTCCATTCGGCTGACGCTCGCTTTATTCTTTTTATGATCAAATTGGGAGTGGATATTTTACGTTATATGACATTCGCGCTCGACCGGTGCATTGCTGGTGACGACCGGGCTCGTGTCGAAAAACTGGAGGGATACCGATCTCAGTTGATGAACTACGGATTTAGTTTCGCACATTCAACGCTTAACAAGTGGAGAAAGGAAGCTGAAGATGCTAACAACCTCCAGACGGCGTGCGTTATTCATTCCTACCTAGTTGTTCTTCATGTGAGCTTACGACCTACCGAATACGACGCTCGGAAGATCTCCGAAATGATTGGCTCCATTGCTTACGTTCACAACTGGCATTGTTTCGGGATGAAGCTGTCCACCGACAGCGATGATGAAAAAGGAGGGCTTTCAGCCGAAGAGCGGCTCCTTCGTTGGCTTCAGGCGCAAGGCATTGACACGGCAAACGTTGGCAAGAAATCTCTAGATAAGTACTTGAAGGGACGGCCTCTGTACTTGAAAATTGGTATGCAGACTATTCAAGCACCAAGTATTGTCGCACTTCGGAACAGCGAGGGCAAAGAGCTACAGCTACCACCTGGTGACGTTCTTGAAGCAGAGATCTTTGAGACTATGCAGTTGCATCGCCGCTCAATCGTCGATTGGCTTGCAGGCTTACCGAAGACCAATCGAAACAAAGTTCTGGGTGGCATTGTTCAAATTGCCCTGCGCTCGAATGAGCAAGCCGATACGTGGGAATGGCTCGAGGAATCTGGCGTCGGGGGTGCAGGAAAATACAGCTGCCGTCAACAAGAGTTAAAGCTGGACGCGCAGACGGGCGAAATATTGTGGAGAAATGATGAGTTAAAGCCTGTTCCGGACTCGATGACCCAATATGCCGACTTCATGGCCATTTTTGGAAATAATTCGCTTCACTGCGGTCTTGTTGCGCGTCAGGAACACCGCCTCTGGGTCAATATTGTTGGTACGGATTTCCAGCTCGTCGAGTGGGATGACCCTACGGACGAAGTAGACCAGGGTGTTGGTGCTCCGGTAGTGTATGAACCTGGAAGTGTAGGTAACTCGGATGACCCCAACGACGATTCTCAAGAGCTTAAAATGTACTGGGAGTGTCCTGCTTGCACTTGCGCAAACTTCAACGGTGATAATCCTAATGCTGCGTGCGATGTGTGTGGCACTCCTCGTGTTGCGCGTGCTCCGCCTCAGCCATCGCGAGGACATCGAGAGGAGAAGCCCAAGCAACCTGGTGATGACGGATTCCGCTACCTCGGCAGGGTTTTCTCACGTCCGTTTGACATATATTCGGAGGAGGAGCATCCTCATGCTGGCGAACAGTGGTTTGTGGATCTAGTGGGCAACGCGCTTCGTCTCATGTATCCTCCCGTGCCTGATGACAAGAAGCTGCCTTACACATTGTTTCTTCCCAGTGACCCGTTGCCAGACAATGCTACTCACGTCCGGTTAATTGGCCTTGATCGAGGCTCGGATGATAAAGATAAGGAGAAGATTGCGACCTTTAAAGAAATTGTGGCGTACAGAACGATGCAGGTGATGCATATCTACGCATTGGTTTCGCACGGACGCAGACTTTACCGCAAGCTTATCTTCACGTCGAATTCTCGCTTAAGTCTTCACAGCTTCCCTTTGAACATCTCTCCAGATCAAGGCCCTGTGGATCCAGCTCTATTGCGTGCTAGCGGTGAGCCTACCGAGCGGCAAATGCTTGGCGGATCCCTAATTGTCTTACGCAAGAACCATTTGCTCAATGGCACGGAGCAATTCGTCCCCCCACGCCTTCTGCAAGGTGTTGTTCCTAGCTGCTTGCTGGAGAATTTTCGCTTTTGGATGGGAGAAGATGGACGTCTTCGAGGCGAACCCGTGGATCCGAAGTCCCAGTGGTTCCGATATCGAGTGGAGGTTGAGATGAACAAGACTGGGCAGGCTTTTATCAGTCGAAAGTCTATCATGACCTCCTTTTCTCGTATCCACCGTGACGGTCAGGAGAAAGAACGGTCAGCAGCTAGTAGCCAAATGCAACCTCCCCCCGCCCCGGTTCGAGTACCTGGGAGACCAATAGCCGAAGCCTCTCGCTCTCCGTTATATCCATCACCTGCTTCTATTGAGATTAGCGACGACGACGTGGTCCAACTCATGGCTATGGGCTTTTCGTACGCTGGATGTGGGCTTGCCTTGCGCGAGAATCATAATAATGTGGGCTTGGCAGCCCAATGGCTGCTGGATGAGAACAATCAGATGAAGATCCTTGCCGCGGAAGAAGCAGCTGCGTCTGGTGAGGTTGCGCTTAGCCCCGAGGAGCAGCATGAACAGAATATTGGACTTCTTATGAGCTTGGAGGGATCACCGTCACGAAGTGCAGTTGAATATTCGTTGGGTCTATTTAACAATGATCTGGAGCTAGCGACAGCGTGGTTATCGGATCCTGCTAATCGTACCGAGATTCAACGAGCAGAAGCTTCTGAAAATGGCGGAGTATTGACATCAGTGGACTCCATTGAAGAAATGCCTACACCGATGCAGGTCGATGAGGAGTCCAAGGACGACGATGCACTTGAAGTTGTTGAAGAAACTGTCGGGGAGACTTTGTATCTGCTGAGCATGCTCGAAGCCTGCTCGGCTGCAAGCGACGAAGTTCGTGCATTGTGCGATCTGCTTACTCGCGTGGAAGATCTTTCGCACATCCTGGTCTGGTGTGCCAGCAATGATGCGGATAATGTACCTTCCGGATTATCCTCTATAGCTTTTATCGAGTTACCAAGGCTGAAGTTGAAGCTTCAACCGACAAAGGACTCGGAGACTGGACGCATACGCCTGAACGTGATGGATCAAAACGGCTGGTTTGTGAGTGAACTTACTGTTGCGATGCCGGAAGGTACCTCCAAATATCTTCGGGGACTCGTTGAGATTGCTCCGGACTGCTTTGTCCTCGAGTCAGACACAACAGATCTAAAACTTATCTGTCCCAATCACGATCTGTATCGTCCAGCAATACGTGGGGAACCGTTTTCCTCGATCCTCGTTAGCGATCGCGGTTCAGTGGGCTGGCAGCAAGCGATGGAAACGAGATTCTACACGTATCCTGTGCATTCAAGCAACACCTTCTTGCTTCCTTCTTCGCTGAGCTCCACGCTGTATCTGATCCTTACAAGCTTGCTTACTCGCAATTACGCGGCAGCAATGGAGTTAATCCTGGGGTGCAACGTGGACGTGAAGTTTACCGACGAGGAAAAACGAGTGTTCGACCAGCTGTCCAAGACACTTGATGATCGCCACCCGAACGCCTGTGCATGTCGTATTCGTCTGTCTCTAGGTATCGCCTATAGTGACAACAAGGCTCCGTGGAAACTGAGTGGTGAGTTGCACGACTACCTTGCCACGAGTGGCCATGTCGACGCAGCTTGCAAGCTAACTCTGGAGGAAGAAAAGGAAGCCCTAGAGCACTGCCACCAGCGGTCTTTTCTCTTGTTGCTGCGCAAAGAGTTTTGTGACCACGTCCAACCAGATACTGCGACTAAAATTGACTTCAAGTTGACCCGATCACGCGTTGGCGGCCAGCCCTGGATGAAGTTGCGTTTGTACAGCAAAGGATATCTTGCGGCACATGGTAAAAAGCTTTCGACCGTGCGGTACAACCGACCAAAGCATGGAGTCGGGATCGACAACAAGTTTTTGATTGATGATGAGGAAGCTGGTAAACTAGTGTGGAACTGTGCTGTTGTTGGCGACGAGATCAGTGGGACAAACCGAGGACTGGGCTTCCTCTTCTTGTACGAATGCTTGAACCAGCAGCTTGTTGTTCGTATGGGTGGCGATGACTGCACGCGTTCGTTTGGAGATTTGTTTGCGCGATTCCTGCACTTGAAGTTATCGAGATGGGGTCGTGAAACCGTGGATGACGGTGAAGAAGAATGTGCGCCGTCATACGCGATGGCACAGTTGGCAATGATAATCGCACATCCTGGTGGTGGTTGGCCTTCGTCTCCTTGTGACCAAGAAAGCGTTCAAATGCTTTCTCGAGGTGCAAATTTGTACTCCAAGATGACGGTGGGGACAATGTTAAAACACTTTTTCGACTTCGGCGAGATGGAGTTCCAAACCAAGCTTGAGTCAGAAGAGCATCAGACTCGTGTGATTGGCCCGATTAAAGCTCAGTTCAGCGAGCTACACCATACTGCCGAGCATGTGTTTGAGATACCGGTTGCTCCCACGGACGACTTGAAGAATTTCGACGCTTCCAACGCGTCGTGTGGTGAGCGTTATTTCGTTGGAGGCGAGAGCAGTCCCATTAACCCAGAGTTCCCACTAGAAGCAATCGATGTGCAGCGGTTCATCACCTTCTGCGATCCAGAGGCGGAAGTGCGGGCAACACTGCCGTTTGACCTGTCGAACCACCCAGTTGCTCAAACCGTGGCTGCAAAAGATTTGCTTAAGCGACTTGGCGATGACATTGCTATTAACGCACAAGCCGTTAACGGAAGCAAAGATGCGTTCATCACGGGCGTGACTCCTGTGAATTTGGCATCCCTTGGTGAACAGACTGCAAGCATTTCTGCTGTTGGAAACCTTCAGACGCTGATTCATCTATGTGAAAAGATGAGAACAAGCGACCGCAACATGGTAGAGGATGGGATTGCGACGCTAGAAATGCAGCTGAACGAGATCCGCCGCGACATTCATGGAAATGCGGAACAGGTTGTCACCGCTGACTGCTTTGTGATGCAGCGTCACGTTGGTGTATTTCCTCGAGTGACGTTTGACTTTCTCACGTCTCTTTTGGCATCCAACTCGCTTGAAGCAGATCTGAAAGCTCGAAATCCGTTCGTGGTAGATATAACGGCGGATTTGATTGAGAAGATCTTGCTCGTGCTCTTCCTCTGCAGCCGAATTGTGCACATCAACCGAACTGTTCAAGCAGCTCGTGCTCTTGTCAAACATCTCAACGGTCTTGTTGCCACTCAGAGTGGAGATGATTGGTCTAGCAAAGTGAAGATGACTCGGCAAGCGTCTCGTGATTTGGCTGATGCGTTGCTATCGAAGCGATACTACCTCCACGGCTCTGCTCAAGGAACGTCCTCAGGGTGGCGATTCGACCCACGCTTCTTGGTGTTTGAATACGTTTTCGACATCTTGCTGCGCGGGCGACAGGTTCAAATGATCGACAGCTTTTTGACGAGCCTAGCGAAGGGTGACTCTCGCGTACAGCAAATGATCATGGGCGCGGGTAAAACGACGGTGGTTGGCCCCCTGCTAACTTACATCCTCGCGGATAAGGAGCATCTCGTGATGCATGTCATGCCAACAGCTCTTCTGGAACAATCACGTCAGGTGTTGCGGAGCCGCTTCAGCAATCGCGTCCTGCGGAAACGTATCTTTACGTTCGAGTTCGACCGTGCCATTAGTGACGACCCCGCTGCTGCCTTGCGGATGTATACTAAACTGGATCGTGCTCGCCGTCACGGTGATGTGGTGTGTGCCTCGCCAGAGTCGATCAAATCGATGATGCTCAAGCTTGTTGAGTTACTGCACTCACTGGATGAATCATCTGACATTATTGAGCTGCCCCTCACTTCGGCGTCACAAAACATTAGGCGCCTCAGGCGTGTGCTTGAAGATCGTTCCGAGATGGCTGACGAACTGCACAAGACGCTGAGGCTGTGGCAAAATGGTATATTGATCATGGATGAAGTGGACGTGCTGTTGCACCCGTTACGGTCGGAGCTCAACTTCCCCATTGGCAACAAGTTCCCTATTGATCTTGCTGCCAATAGATGGGAACTTCCCATTTATTTGATCGACGCTGTTCTCGCATCGCCAAGTGACTCTAAAGATCCGTCTGGGTTAATCCCGCGATTACATGCCGTGCTGGACGAAGGATACGCTGCTCATACGTTACAGCGCTTCCCGCACCTTGTGCTGTTGGACATGGAGTTTTATGAGGCGCAAATGTTACCGCTATTGTCGGAAATTGCTATTGAATGGTTGTTAAAGCTCTTCCGTATGGGCAAAATGGAGGTGTCAGTCGAACGAATCAAGTATTATTTGGAGTGCCCGCGTGCAGAGCTGCATACAGATGCTTCTCTTCGAGCTGATATTGAGAACGGCCTGTCCGAATCTTCGATTAAGCTGCTCAATCTTGCGCGCGATTGGTTACGTACCATCTTGCCGCACGTCCTTTCCAAGATCAACCGTGTATCCTATGGTCTCCTGAGAGGAGAGCATCAAGCGGCTGCCGCTTCAGGAAACAGTGGTGGCAACGCTCACTCTCGGCTAATGCTGGCAGTTCCATTCATCGGGAAAGATGTTCCGAGTCGCTCGTCCGAGTTTGCGCATCCCGACGTGTTGATTGGATTGACCATTCTTGCTTATCGCTACGAAGGTATCCGCGTATCCGATCTTGTGCGCATCGTGTCGCAACTGAAGCAGGATTTTAGTCGCCAGCTCGGGCCGCGTGACCAACGTCCGGCCTGTGCCATGTTCCGCGAGTGGGTCCGAACTGGTCTATCTGTGCTCTCATCGGAAAAGCAAGATGCTTCGGGTGGTGTTCTTCCACTACCTCTTTTCCAGCTTCGTGATTCCGCACAAGTGGCGCGGCTACACTACTTAGTGGCTAAGCTTGCAGGCGTGGTGTATTACTATGTCCGGCAACATGTCTTCCCGTCGTGCATGAATTTTCAGAAGCTGAAGATCTCTGCTTGTGGTCATGAACTCGGCAGTAATTCGCTTTTTGCGAAACGAATTGGTTTTTCGGGAACGCCTTCGAACCTGCTACCGATGGATCTAGGCGAGTGTTACTATGAGCCTCGCAGTGATGGAAGCATTTTCGAAGCTCTTACTAACAAACGCATCGTGTCCATTGAGCGTAAAGTGGAGTGGACGGCTCGAAGCTTACTGTTGGATATAGCTCATGCGCAACCGCCGGTGCATGCGCTTATTGACACGGGTGCACTGATCACAGGTTTCGATAACCAGGAAGTAGCTGCGTTTTTGTTGGCAGAGCTGCCTGCTGAAATGGAAGGCGTGGTGTATTTGGACGAGAATGATCGACAGATGATCTTACTGCGTGATCACAACGCACCCATGCCATTAGTGCAGTGTGGATTGAGCCCAAGCAAGAGATTCACGTTCTATGACCAAGTCCACACGACGGGAATGGATATCAAACAGTTTGTGAACGCGCGTGCTGTCGTCACGTTAGGCAAGGACATGACCTTCCGTGACTACGCTCAGGGAGCATATCGTATGCGCGGTATTGCCACTGGGCAGTCGATATGTCTCTTCCTTATCCCTGAAGTTGAGAACCGTATTCGCCACGAGATGAAACTTGCCCAAGTTGAATTGAGCTCGCAGGGCTCGGCACAACAACGACTGGACGAGTTTCTCCTGCTGGTACCGGCTTGGCTTCTAGTCAACTCCATGCGCATGGAATCCATGCAACTTGTTCAGCTGTCGCTTCAGGAACTGCATAATACTTGGCGTAGACGTGCTCTTCGTTCATTGCTGGACGAGATTGCTTTGGCCACGTCCAAGAACGCTTCTCTATCATCTCGGCTGCGTCGGTTTATTGGTCGTCAAGATGACAGTGATAAAGCTTGGCTTCGCAAGTGCATCGCGATATTCCGCGTGGAGATCTCGTATACAGTGGACGCCGCCGTGCCGACCAGGAAACAACTTTCGGATGTAATCGGAAATCTCATTCAGAGTCACGAAGACTTCTTAAAGTCAGACAAGGAGACTACCCGAGTCAGTGCCGTACAACATCGGCTAGCCCACTCATCAGGAAACCAACAGCAATTGCTTGCGGAGGAGCAAGGTGACTTACGTCTCACCGCTGAAGTTGTGCATGAGAACGAGGCTGAAGCGGAAGAAGAGGCCGAGGAGGAAGCTGAGCAGGAAGAGCAAAAGATGAGTGCGTTCACTCGTGATGACGAGCACCCAATCCCGTGGAGCGCCTCGGTTCTTGCTGAACCACCTACGGGAGTTGCTGCAGGATCTATTGGAGATGAAGAGATGAAGACGGCCGTTCAGCAACAGCAAGAAGAAGAGGCGAGCGTATTCTACCCATTCGCGCAATTCCAAGCCCACTCAGAGTGCCCAAGGATTGCCTTCCCTGCAGAGTTAATGGTGTCTGGAAACTTTTTCCGTCGACGATGGGTTGGGCTTGGTGAACGTCGCGTAAAAAACGTCGGGCTCATTCTTGAGTGGTCACCAATGCTGCACCAAGAAGCGATGAAGACGGTTGTGCAGCAGCTCTTTATGGCGATTATGGCGGACGGATCGGGTGGCAATGCTAACGAAATTGCCGTGAAGGCTCTACAAGCAGCAGCTGAAATGGCTACGACGAGTCCTGACGCAGTGTCCGATGCAGTGAAGGATGCCGTGTCAGTCACGACACGCAAGATGCCAGTGTATTTGGCGACATTGTCTCTAGCTGAAGGAGAGACGATTCGTCGCATGATCCATACGCAACATCCCGTGTTCCAAGTAAGCCAGGTGCAGCTCCGTACAAGCGAGGGTGAGTTGGTCGAGAGCTCGTCATTCTTCTCGTCTTGGTCTCCGAAGACTGCTCCAACAGCTCTTGCTGAGATGGCCCCTCGACAGAAGACCATTGCAGTGGGTGTCCAGTGCTTGCGCTTCTTCAACAACGAGATGTATTACTTCCCGAACGAGCTCGAGATGCTCTTGGAAGGGCTGGCTACCGTGCCTATTTCGCTACGACACGAGTTCTTTGAGTGTCTCCTGCGTCTTCGACGCCGCGAGCGTCACCTGTGGGGAGACACACCACTGGCGAAGGTATTCACTGCTCAGAGTGAATGGCATTTACTCACTGCACGTGCTCGACTGCAGCAATTCCAGCAGAGTTTGTTGCGAAAGCAGCGACAGTATCAGAAGAAGAAAGAGAAGGGTAAAGATCCCAAGCCGACAATGGCCGCTCTTCACTTGGCGGTGGCTCTGCGACGATTCGATGAAGACGAGGACGGTCGATTGAGTGCCGAAGAAGTCCACAAATGCTTCGAGAGCTTCCAACTAGGCTTCTTGTCCAAGGAGCTGAACGAAATCATTGGACTAATCGCAGACGCCCGGTTCACAAACGGTGAGAAGGGACATGAACAGGGCATTCCGATGGAGACAATCTGTGCGGCCTTCGGTATCTCCCGTGAGGAAATGAAAGGCGCTCTTCTTCGCGACGACCAAGAGAGTGCTCGTGCTGCAGCGGGTCTGAATGTCGAGCCTTCGTGGGCCTGTCCTGTGTGCACATACGTGAACGATGGCGCCGCAGATGTGTGTGGAGCCTGTAACGAACCCAATCCGAAGCACCAGGACCAGGACGCACAGCAGCAGCAGCAGCAGCAACAACAGGGATGGCGTTGCGGCAACTGCACTTTCATCAACCAACCAGACGATGTGAGCTGCGCTATCTGCGAGCTTGACATGGATGGACAGCGGGGCGTGCCTCGTGGCAAATGGGTCTGTGCTGGCGAGCAGGGCGGCTGCACATTCTTCAACTCCATGGCCAATTTCTACTGCGAAGTATGCAACCGCGCACGCCCCGATCTGGCGTCCACTCGCTTCTAGAGCCATCGATTGACTTGGTTAAGGTGCCTGTTAGCCATTTGCACTTTTGCTACATGGTCAATGCTACGTATCTTTTTGAAACACCTGTCTCCGCTTCAACTGTCTACCATATGTTGATTGGTCGAAAGTATATCTATTCTTTTTGGCGAATGGGACACTTCCATCTTTCGACCAATCGTCGTCCGTTCTCGCTTCAAGTGTCCAGTCCATAGTGGACCCAAGTCAAGTGCTCGAGGAGTGCCTCTCACTTGCGAAAAAGACGCGAAGCAGCGAAGAAGGCGATGGACCCGCACTCTATGGGGATGCAGGGCGGCGGGATGTCGATGCCCATGTCCATGGGTATGGGCGCTGCCAACCCGCAGTCCATGGGCATGGGTATGAACCCTCAAGCGATGTACAACCAGCCCCAGATGATGATGAACAGCATGCCTATGGGCTCCATGGGGATGACCCAGATGAACCCGAACGTCATGAATCCGCCCCAAGTGAGCGACTGGCGCATCCAGCTGACGAGGGAACACCGTGCCAACCTCATCGCCAAGATCTACAACGAGATGGTGCGCGTATCAGCCGACCCCGTACCGGGTATTAAGCTCTGGATGAACGTGTCGTGGTATGAATTGTCGCTGTACAAGGAGTCGCCCACACAGGAGGTCTACATTAACAAGATATTCACACGGCTAAAGTCACTGCGAGCACAGCAGTCGGATATGAACGCGGCCATGGCGGCACAGGGACTGCCCAATCAGGGTATGCTGTCCAGACTCGACTTTTCTTACTATAACACACTCAATCTGAACCAGAGAGGCGCCAATGGGGGACAAGTGAGTAGCTATCCTGGACACAATCAAGTAAGTGCACCTGGGCCCCACCCGGGAGCTCAACAACAGCAACAGCCGCAACAGCAGCAGCAACCGAAGCCGGTATCTGCTAGTAATACCCCAGTGAAAACGGAAACGGCGAGCTCGGGTAACTCGGTGGCCGAGTACTGGCAGCAGCATGCGGCGCTACGGGCAAAACACCAGGGAGATGTTGAGAAGGTGCACAACGCCTTCAAGAAGTATGTGGATCACATGAAGGGACATGATGAGACGGAGCAGAAGAAGAAGCTGCGATATCTTCTGAGCTATGTGGAGCTCTGCGCGAACATCTTGAACGAAGACAAGACCACACACCCGCCCCGGAAGATTGAGGAGCTGGACAAGGTCTTCAAGTACATCGTCAAGATCGTCAACCCATACTTGAAAAAGCTGCGTACTGAGACCGACAAGCGCAGCTATCCAAGCAGTGATATCAGTAGCAACCAGCACGCCACAACAACCGGCCCCGGTGTACCCACATCTTCTGGAGCAACAACAAGTTCGGGCTCCAACACAATGCCCTCGGGTGGTTTCAGCAATGCTATGGCGCAGGCTCAGTCTGCAGGGCAGAATCAGCAACCAAACGCGGTGAACACGTCAGCGCAGATGCCTCAGCAAAAGCAGCAGCAGTATATGATGCAGCAGCGTGCTCAGCAAATGCAACAGCAGCAACAAATGCAGGCCCAAGCTCGCCAGCAGCAGATGATGCAGCAACAGCAAATGATGCGACAGCAGCAAATGCAGCAGAAGGGTCCTCAGCAACAGTTTTCGGCTCAGCAAGCGAACCAAATGAAGCACCAGCAACAACAGAATAGTCAGAATGCCGCCAACCAGCAGAGTGGCCAGCAGACGCAGCAGCAAATGGGACAGCAGGGTCCTGCTCGGCCACAGCAGCCAAACCCGGTACAACAGAAGCCTCCGCAGTCCCAGCAAACCCAACCTCAGCAGAACCACAACCAGAACCAAAACCAGCAACCCCCAACGTCGCGAGGAGAGAGCCCGTCGATCAGTTCCGGGCTCAGTTTGGGTCTGGATGACTCGCTATACGGTAGTATGAGCAACGACTTGTTACAGATGCCAACGCCCTCCGGAACCTCGGGCGGCCTCATGGACTTCTCCAACGCTTTGTCGCCCACCAACTTCGGTGGAATGGACTTGCTCGACTGGGACGACGGCACTGGCCAGGGAACATCCGGTCAAGGCGGCATTGGCACGTCGACAGGCGACAGCTCAGACCTCATGACATTCGTGGAGACGCTGTAGATGGTAGAATCGCTCGATGGAGGACAACGTGTCCTCTAGTCTACTAGGTAATTGTAATTCTCAATTTTCAAGGCAGGGGCTTCCCTTTTCTATCGTAACATTGTCAACTGTAATATTGTGGGGGAAGTTGAAGTCAATCGACGACGCTGAACGCCCGCCAACTGAACCAACTGTTCACTAAACATCCAAACTTCAAATCCTAAACTCAAATTGCGATCGTCAAGCGCTGTGAGTCATGGCGTCGTCCTTCCCGTCGTCCTTGCCGCCGCGCGTGCCGTCCACCGCCTCCACTTTGCACGTGACGGCGTCCGACATCAGTCTATTTAGTCGCTCGGACGACGAGGCCGCCAGCGCGGAGGAAGACGACGAGATGATCGTCGAGGACGAGCAGCTGGCGGTGCGGACACTGGCCAGCGAGCAGCAAGAGGGTGACGAGGGCGAGACGCTGGGTCAGGAGCTGCTGGAGGCGCTGCGTCTAGGCACGAGTAACTTCCTACTGGCCTACAACACACGTGCAGGGATTGCGGCCTTGCTGCGTCTGCTTAAGTTGCTGCAGCGACGCGAGTGGAGGGCTGCGGTGGATCTGCGGCAGTTATTGGACGAGAAGCACCTCAATTTCCGGGTGGATGCAGTGCGGCTAGGCCTGTTCTTAGGCTGGTTCACAGGCGGATACAGAGGTCTGAGAGCTCTACTGCCCGTGATTCTACGGCGAATTCTACCCAGGAAACATCTTCAAGACAAGAAGAAGCTTAAGGAGATCTCAGCCCTTGGGTCTGGAGCCATTGCAGCCCTGGCGCTCGGTTTTGTGGACACAAAGCGACGTCGATCTTTGGCATTGTATGCGCTTACGAGAGCGCTGCAGTGCGGCTACAACACGGCCAAGAGACTGGAACGCTGGCACTTCTGGGGCAGTGACTGGCAGTATGGCGACGCGCTGCTGTTTGCACTCTCAAGTGCGCAGGTCATGTACGCGTACGTCATGAGACCAACGACCCTGCCCTCTGAATATTTCAGGTTTATCCAGAGAACAGGCCCAGTAGAACTGGAGACGCTGGAACTGGTGCAGCAAGTGAACCGAAGCCTTCCAGTTAGCGCTGCTACTCTTCAGAAACTGATCAATCGGAAGCCAGGGATTCCGAAGGACTTCCCGTTGCCGACGGATATCGTGCCGTGCAGACTTGTGCATGCCAATGCTGACTCATGTGCGGTAGGAGCACTGCTGTGCTTCAAGCGTGCCTTCCAAAAGACCTTTCCGCTGTATCTATCACTCTTCATTGTACCAGGCGTGGTCATCCATTTCAAGCGCTTCTTGCGTGCACCTTTTCGCACTCTAGCACGCTCGACGTTGAACGCGACACGATCCAATTGCTTCCTAGCGTCTTTCGTGACGCTCTATTTGTCACTTGTGTGCATGCACCGCCGTGTGGTGACCAAAGACCACCGATTCATCTATTATTTGGCCGGATTGGGAGCCTCGACGACAATTCTTATGGAGCCAAAAAGCCGACGCTCTGGTACGTTGAATTGCTGATTGTTTTAGTTGGGAAGACATGAGACTGATACGTTGTGCGTCATTCAATATCGACAGAGCTGGCGTTGTACGTGCTGCCTCGTGCTCTCGACAGCTTGGCGATGATTCTGCACGACCGAGGAGTCTGCTCTGGCTTCAAATACGGCGAAGTCGCCCTCTTCTCGGCCTCAATGTCCGTAATGATGTACTGTTACGAGGTAAGTCTGCCGATTGTGCAAGTTGCGTTAGTCTTGAGTACACGCGTTTAACTCGCTTTTTTTTTTTTATCAATTAACAGCACGAGAAGGAGTCCATGAGTCCGTTCCTGTACAGCACCATGAAGCGCTTCATGCAGACCTCAACGGACAAGAAGCAACAGTACGTGGCCTCTCTCGAGCAGAAAGAGAGACGCCTCTCGCAGTCGATTCCAATGGCTCCTGCTTCTACATCCGTTTGAAGCGGGTTGGTTGGATACCCCTCCATGTTTATATTCTCATATGGCTTGCGCGTCTTGAAGCAGCAGTACTTTAATAGTGCAGCTCCGTTAAATGGATACTTCGAAGTAAAAAAGAGAACGGACGATAGCTGCGTCTGTGCTACTGTTTGTTGTCTTTTTTCCGAGCCTCTCCACTACAACTTGTACGTTGTCGCTATAAATTCTCTTAAACTTGAGCGAAGCGAACGCTGCGGACGCTAGGCAGTTCCTTCAGAGCATTCAGCGTCTCATCAGAGGGTACGGAGTCCAGTGCAAGAATACCAAGAGGGTGCTCAACGTTGTTCTGGCGAGCGAGTCCAAAGTTGGCGATGTTGATCTTCGCCTCGGACAGTTCGCTCAGGATGCCAGCGATTGCACCTGGGACGTCCTCGTTGTTGAACACCAATATGTTGCCTTTCGGACGGAAAGCTGGGAAGTCCGAGTATTCGTTCACACGCACGATACGCGGGTCCTCACCGAAGACGCTTCCCTTGACAAGAAGACGGTCCTTGTTCTTGGTCTCAACCACCACCGCCAAGCAGTTCTTCAAGTGACGACGCACCGCTGCTGGGTCGGTCTTCAAGTCACCTTGACGCACGTCAATGCCCTTAGCCATGGCAAGCAGCGAGGAATTCAGAAGGCTGATCTCGGGTTGTTCCTCGTCCTCAGCGGGTTCCTTATACTCCCGCATGCTCTCAAGCATTCCCTTGAGCAGCGCGTTCTGGAGAACCTGGCGAGCCTGTGGCGTCGTAATGTCAATCTGTAGCCCACCAGTGGCAGCCAGAAACACGTTGGTGATTCGATCCTTCGGGTCTGCCGACAGAGCTAGTTGGTGTACAAAGCGACCAAGCGACTCGCTCAGCTCCAGGAACGGCTTCATCTCCGGCAACAGCGTCAGAGGCATGAACACACCGTTAGCTACACCACGGTAGTAGCGCTGTGCCAGGGCATCGCCTACATTCTCCGCCAGAAGACGGTACTTACGGCGCTGAAGCACGTCGTCCGACGCCGTACCGTCAGCATGTGCACGCGTGATGACGTTCTCGTGCTTCATCAGCTCCTGCCACGTCGGCGACATGTCCAGTCCGTCCGCTGATTGAAGCAAATCCAGCGCCACGCCGCTGATCTTGCCAGACTCCAGACCACGCAGCAGCGTGTTCTCGTCCAGCAGACCGTGACTTCCCCTGTATTCAGCCACCGACACGATCTTCACGCCAGGCTTGCACTTCTCTAAGGCCTCGTCTCCAAACATACCGCGTGTGCGTGCAGTCAATGGAGCGTGGAAAGTGATGAAGTCACAGGTTGCGTACAGTTCGTCCATGGACACGCATTTGACTCCCATGAGTTCGGCCGCTTCCTGGTTTAAGTTGGGGTCAAAACCAAAGACTTGCAGTCCAAGAGCATGCGCCATGTTCACCACACGTCGCCCAGCTTGTCCAATGCCAACAACTCCTAGACTCTTCCCCGCTAGCTCCGTACCAGCGAATTGCTGCCGGTCGAACGGCTCGCCGGAGCGCATACAGGCCATACTACGAGGCAGATGACGTGCCAATTGAATGAGTAGACTGAGGCCGATCTCTGCTTCCACAGACGAGCGGTCGCCCACCTGTTTGGACTCGAGTTGGAGGAGCATCACGCCCTGATTCGTAGCCTCCATGAGGTCGATGTCCTCGCTGGGGATTGAGGCGGCAGGCACGGCCACCAGCTGCAGCTTGTGCTTAGCACCCGCGCGGAGAAGTTCGCGCGGTAGCTTCGTACCTGGAGCCGCTAGGAGCGCGTCGTAGTCCTTCACAACTGATGTCAGATACTCGTCCGAGGCGGCGCGCACTTGGTCCACGACATGGCCGCGCTGTACGAGCTCCTGGACGCACGAGGTCTCGGCCACGTGCTCGGGAACGTCCACGCACAAGATGCGACGGCTGCTGTCGGTCGCTAGCAGTCGTGAGAATGAAGGACGCAGCGCCGCGGGTCGCCGCGCGAGGAGGAGACGCTGCCACATACTAAGCCTTGCAGATGTTTTGGTACACAGGAAGTGAAGGTGGTTGATGGATAGCACAGAAATTTAATACTGATAATTGGATGAAATAATGAAGATACCTTTACAATTTCATCCAATAATCACGAAGAAACATGGCCGCACTTACCAGTTGTAACGTTGCGGAGCATGAGCAAGGTCCGGCATTGGCGAGAGGACTGGCAACGCATGCCGCCTTATTTGAAGGCGGTGGTGGTCGGTTCTGCGACTATTGGTGGATGTACGAATTGATCCAGGTGTCACTATAGACTATTACGATGTCTAAGCTGCTGGTTTCCTCCTCTCGTTCAGTGTACGTCGTGAATCATGTGGAGATAATGCCGCTCACCAACCGCCGCCGCATCATGTTCCTCTCGCCTGAGCACGAGGAGCGACTGGGAGAACAGGCCTATCGAGAGATCCTGAGCAGCTCTCGGCTGCTACCGCCATCACACCCGGTACATACACTGTGCACTAGATGCCTGACAATAGAATAAAGTGCTCACTTGTTCTTCAACATTAAGATGTCGCGGGCCGTGACGCGAGTTGGCCGCAAGATCGCGCAGGAGACAAACGCGCCGTTCATGAAGTGGACGTTCCACGTGATCGAAGCGAAAGAGCCCAACGCCTTTTGCCTGCCTGGAGGCAAAGTGTTCGTACACTCGGGACTGTTCAAGGTGCTACGCAACGAGGACGCATTGGCTGCAGTCATGTTCCACGAAGCTGCACATGGCCTGGCTCGTGAGTCACGTGGCGATAATTTGACGGTAGCTAGGAGTCATAACTTATGACTATTTACTGTGGTTGTTGCGTTAGGACACGGAGCGGAAAAAATCTCATTCAGTTTGCTGGTGTATGGACTGCTGGCGCTCATATTCCCGGACTATGGACAGATCAGTGATCTGGTAACGACTGTATTGAGCGTGAAGTGTAAAGTGCTCAAAGTGCTGATAGTGTTTGTTGCCCAGATGGTGAAGCTCGCAGTTGATCTACCATTTTCTCGCAAGCTGGAACTGGAGGCCGACTCGATTGGTTTGAGGCTGATGGCGCAAGCGTGTTACGACCCTCGTGCCAGCATTCAGATGAACACGTCGTTGGGTCAGCTAGACAAAGGATCTCAGTTCAAGTACTTTTCGACCCACCCACCCAGTGCTGAGCGAGTGCAGGCGCTACGGTCTGTAGGATTGCTATTTCTATCGCGAGTGAGACTTGGATTCTTACGTTTGTGTGATTTCTGACCGTGTAGTGAACAACTGAACAATGCACTCGAGATCTACGAGGCCTCGGACTGTGGATCACGAAAGCAAGCATTCGCAAAAGCAATGAAGCCTGCCTTCTCACCTCAAGGTAACGCTTCATTTGACTGGTAGACGCACTGCAACAGTGACTTGTGACAGTGGTTTTTTGGGGTCTGAAAGGTAGTGGACGAAATGCTGGTTGTAACATTTGATATTGTGTACGTCTCTTTCTGTCTTTTAAAACTAAGTCATCTTGGATCACCAACTCGGTAGCAACCGGATAGCTGTTAGCTCCCAACTAATCAAATCTGAAGCGTCTAGCAAGAACCAAAGATTCACAGCTAGCACGAATATCGTCAGTACTGTGAAGACGCGGTTTGTGTAGAATGGGAGACAGAACGAGTCCTTGGTGATATTTAATGCGATCGCCACCACGGTGTAGGCCAAACGCACGAACAACCAAGTCGTCGAGCCTTCCTCGCTTGAATGTCATAGTCTTTGAAGGCAACACAACTTGGAGGTACGGTTAAGTGGCCAGCATTCACATATGGCAAGGCTTCGTTGATCGAACAGAACCAACTATCGTCTTGCTGCAAGATCGCTAAGGCTGAAGCAAAACCTGCTATCTTTTTGTAGTCTCTGTATAGCGAAGCCAATCCCTGACGAGAGAAGCAACGCTGGAGGCACAGCTACAGTAATGAGGTCCAGGAAGTACAGCAACGAACTAAAGAATGGCGTATCCGTGTCCGCCCCGTCGACAACTCGTTTAATAAATGCAGTACACCAAGCTCAATAAGATAGCGGTAACTATCACGTTTGAACTCGAAAGTAATTGGCTTAGGGAAGAGGTTCGTTCGCACCAAACCGCTCAAATCTCGCAGTAATATCGAGAGTGGTTAGGCCACTATCGACACGACTAGTGATTGCACCAAGTTCTTCTCGAATAGTTGCAAGCTATCGTTTGAACTTGGCTACTTCGAGGCTGTAGATGTACCGGTGCTTCTAAAACTGAAACCAAATCCCCTAGTCTTGTTGAGATCGTGTTTGGCGCAACCGATGGGTGGTTTACTGGACATTCGATCCATGGAGCATGCAGTCCCTTACCGTGCACGAGAATGAGCATGTTGTTGGCATCGCCAGTTGATGAAAGTGGAAGCTGCGTACGAGCTAAGTAGGTGAAAATTAGTGGGTACCAAATTGAAAAGATGAACATGAGTACAGCGCCAACTGAAAGTACGAAAACGTGAAGGGTATCAAACGCAGCGGCTCATTGGGAGGATAGACCAATTGGCTATATGGGTTGTTGATTGGAACTTGCACGTGGTCCTGTAAGGTCTTCATGATGATGGCAGGAATCGTGTCATTGGTGGTTTGCTTTCCAGGATGAAGGCCTTTTGACAAGTGTTTAAGGTGAAAGTCTCACCTGTTTTACCATGAGACCGACCACGTTCACAACGGCCTGTTTTTTGTTGTTGTTGAGATCGACATCAGTTGCACCCAAGGATATACCACGTCTTATGACAAGGTGAACAGCTCAATTTCGATTGATACGAGTGTACTGCTCTTTGTTGCGGTAAAGTAGCCATTCTCGATAAGTGGATCAGAGAAGAAAGTGGCCATTTTGAGACAAAAAGTCAAGTAACGGGAATGAGCCTCTACATTTCAGAAGAACTCGCAACGACAGTACTGAAGGTCATAGCGTGTCTTCTCCTGCTTTTGTCGCCATGCTCTAGTTAACTGATGGTCAGAAAATAGATAGAAAATCTAATTGAGTTTTTACTAGTGTTCAGGGCTGAGCTCCGATTCCGCCTAGCATAAACTGATATACACATGCTAAAATAGTCCAAGCGATCATGGTCACCTCGCCTTCATCGCGTGGCGTGGACGGCGACAGGCAACAGTCGCAATGTGCCATCTGTGTCTGGGGCAACCGCGGACGGCTAGCGAGAGACTTAAGTCTCCAGCTGGTGAAACGCTCTTGCCACTTTGAAGTTCGTAGTGATCGACCATGAGGAGAGGATGCAAAAGCTCCAGCTGATCAAGTCTCTGATATTGGCTGAGGGTGGTCCAAGGGCGGCTTCAACACCAGCACTTTACAATTTCACTCGTGATCATTACGCGCACAAACCTGGTCTGAGTAGCATGACGATCATGCATTTTCGGTGCCTATTTATCGCAGTATTTGTACGGCTTTGTGCTGCGGTGCCTTCGATGGATCTAACGCTGAGTGCATGTAGCTACACGGCGGAGAATCTATACGTTGTCAATTCCACTGAGCCTCAAATGATGTTCCCAAGTGGCTACGTGGAATGCACCAAAGCCACTGGAACCGACACGGCACTTTGCGAGATCTGTTCGTGTCGTGAGAAGAAAATAGCGTCGGTGGCTGGAGTGACAGTCGCTTGGGTCGTGTGCGTCGGATCGGGAGATGCTACGGCGTGTACGAATAATGCCACATCCGTTCAAGAATTCTGTGCGAGCACGAACGATTCTAGTGGGTCCAGCTCCTGCGACGGGTTTAGCACCAACGTCGGCGACTCCTCTTCCTGTAACATATCCGAAGTCATCACCAACGGCAGTGGTGCTAGCGCAGATGTGAGCTTAACCCCTACAACAACTGCGCCAAACACCAGCGTCGATACTAGCGTAGATGAAGGTAGCGCAGAATCGAGCTCGTCTTTGGCAGCAATTGACACAAGTGGAAGCATGGACACCAGCGCGGATGTCGGTAGCAGTGATGCTGTAAGCGAAGAAACCAGCTCCATCTCATCGAAAACTGGCTCAGGTTCTCGCATTGATGGTAGCAGCTCAAGCAGCTACAATATTTCAAGTTCGGTCGGGTCAAACTCAGCGCCAAATCTCTCGTCAGCATCAAGTGACATAGAGGTGAAGATCCCGACGCCATCCTCTGAAATATCGAGATCTCAGGCTACGAGCGAAGACAATGTCGTCCCTGCTGATGTCGGTACGGTAGAGCCTGCTCAAACCAACACGGCCACTTCGACGGAGCAAAACATCATCCGTCCGTCCGACAACGAATCGTCGAACGAATTCGATACCAACAACGGGGCATCCCCCACTTCCGACTGGTCTGGAACGCGGTTAACAGCAATGATCACCATTCTCTGTGGTATCGCTGCCGTCGCTGGCATTGCAGTCTTCGTTGCAGTGCGAAGGGATCAAGACAGGAAGAACAAGGAGCTTGAAACACCCATCGACGACAGCGATTCCTCCTTGGCCACACCGACGACGAGCAGTCTAGATGAGAGGTACTGCAAAGGAAGACGCGGTCGAACAGGCTTGGTTGACACGAGCGACAACACCGTGCTGGCCTCGATCGTCGTGATCGGTGCTAACGACGACTTACTCGCCCCTGTTGGCTACTCTTCGGGGCGACAGTACCGGTCGTTCTCTGGAAAAATGTCAGGTAGCTACGCTCGCACGGAGAGTGTAAAGGCCAGCGACGGTGAGATGCGCTTGGATAACAGCTACCTTAATGTCGCTCCAGCTTCACAATTGCAGTTCAACATCTCGCACGGCCCGTCCTCGTCGGATCTGCCTTTGCCCACGCACGACCCAATATTCGACACATCCAACACAAAAGTGAGTTTCTCGTCGAGTATGAACTCCGATAGTGCACATCCACCAAGTGAGCGCATGTATGAGTCGGAGGATATCTCAAGTGACTCATTCCGAAGGATTTCAGCAACGTATAGTGTGGGTTCTGGACGAGACTCGGTTCCCTCATTAGAGCCTGAAAACTCCCCAGACCAGGAGGCAAACTTAGTCGTATCCAACACAACTAGGAGCTTCGCTTCGAGTCTCTCGAGCATTGAGTTCGCATTACGTGATACAGAAGCAAGCGAACACATTCATCCGTCGGAGCTAGGAACCACTTCGAGCCGCATCGCCCTGTCGTTCGAATCGAACTTCGGTGTAGGTTCTGGGAGTCTTAGTGGTGGTCATCGACACCACGAGAACTAGTTTACTGTCCACGTAAAAGTATCGTTAGAGTCTGCACTGTATGAGTTTGTGTTGGTTAAGTGACGAAGCTTTCATTTATTACTCAATACGAGTTGAAGTTGCTGTAAATGACGCAAGAACCCCCCAAAGCCTCAAGCTTGAAACTTTAAACTCCCGCAAACCTCCGTCGCGAATACTGTCACGTGACCATTCCTATGATACCTTGAAGCCTGCTTAGCCTGAGACCATTGGTCCCCGTCACATTGAAGCGGCGCCGATATCTTCGGTCTGTCCAGTATGATGAAGAGTCTGCGAGAGCACCTGCTAGTCCCGATAGATGACCTAGCGGGTCAACGCGTACAGCTTGTGTATGCCCCCAATGAACATTTACAAATGCTTCCCTTTGCGTTCTCCCATCTACGCATGACGGTCTACTGTTTGCTGTCTTTTCTATCCTGTGGTACACTACTCATCATCTCTGTCTGGTACCCCGTGATCTTCACGCGTATTGCCCGAGTGGCATTGCCGTATTCATCACTGAGCGACGCAGACGTCATGTTGATTCACGTTCATGGCGACGGAGTACGAGCTCACTGGGTCGAGTGTCGGGTGCACCATCCAGTACCAGATAACGGCGACTACCGTACCAAAGTACCGTGGGTTTGGTTCGAGTTCAAGAAACAGCGGTACGTGTACGACTACGAACGCGGCGAATTTCGACGATACCTGGCTACAATTCGACAGAAGCTAAGTAAGCTTCAGAAACACTCCGACGCTGGTCTGGATGAACACGTCGTCAAGACAAGACGCGAATTGTTTGGAGCAAATCGTATCACTATTGACAAGCCGAGTGTTCTGGAACTTTTGTTCATCAAGATCGCTCATCCATTTTACGTGTTTCAAATATTTAGCATCGTGATTTGGCTTCTCCAAAGTTACACGAAATACGCTATTGTGATCCTGTCGATGTCTGTAGCCTCGTTGGGTTACGAGGTATACTCTGAAGTCTCGAATAACAATCGATTGCGAAGCTTAGTGCTCAGTGACAGGCATTTCGAGGTCCTTAGAAGCTCGAGGACGCTGAGAGTGCATGAGACTGAACTGGTTCCAGGTGACATCGCGTTCGTGAGTGAGGGTCCTGTATGTGCAGATATTTTACTGCTTTCTGGTGGTTGCACGGCTGATGAGGCTTCGCTCACAGGTGAGGCGATTCCTGTCAACAAGGAATCAGCAGTTGGGACAGACTGGATCACAGATATAATGGCTCGAGAGAAGTTCAAAGCCTCATTTTTGCATACTGGGTCTACCGTCACTCGAGTATTCAACAACGATAAAGTGTGCAAGGGTGTGGTGATCAACACAGGGTTTTCCACCGGGAAAGGCAAGCTCTTCCGCAGTATCTTGTTCCCAAAACCGATCACGTTCGAGTTTGAACGAGACAGTTATCGGTACTTGGCTATACTTTGGATTGTCGCTATTGCAGCGTTTATCAAGCAGCTTGTGGCTGGATTTCACGTAGGAACTCCATTTGTTGCAACTCTGGTTACTTCGTTGAGCCTTATTACAGTGGCCGTTCCTCCCGCTCTGCCGCTTGTTCTTACCTCTGGCATCGGATTCTCGATGCACCGACTTCACCAACGAGGGATCTTCTGTATCGATTCTCAACGTGTAAATTCGTGCGGACAACTCTCGTGTTTCTGCTTTGATAAAACCGGAACGCTTACCAAAGAACATCTTAGCTTTGTTGGAGTCGTTTTGACAAATCACATTTCATCCACAGAGCAAGTGTTAGACACAACACATTCACTTGAGATCATGTCTGGAATTCGTTTAGCTATGGCGACATGTCATGGGTTATCACAGCATCGCGGTGTTGTTCACGGGTACCCACTTGAGATAGAAATGTTTAAGGCGACACACTACTCTATGGATTGTTGTCCAGATTCTTCAAATGCTGGGTACAGTGCAATTGTGACCTCTACAGATCTGAAAGCTACCAGATACGGCATCATCAAGCAATTCGCCTTCGACGCCGCATACCAACGATCTAGCGTTGTCGTCGAAGAAATAGCGACCAGTAAAAGATTTGTCTTTGTCAAAGGCTCACCGGAGGCAATGAGTGCCATCTCCGTCACGACTCCACCTGATCTCAAGCAAAAAACATTATCCTACTCATCCGACGGATATTACTGCATTGGTTTTGGAATGAAGGAACTGGATTCAAATATTCCCATTAATGTGAACAACCGTGAAGAAGTGGAGAGGGCGGTGAAGTTTGAAGGTCTCGCTCTGTTCAAGAACGAGCTGAAACCCGAGGCGAAGCGTATGCTTGACGCGTTGTACGTTGCAGATATCGACGTCCGAGTAATTACAGGTGATAACGCGTTGACTGCTGTTCACGCTTGTCGAGAGTTGGAGATGAAAATGAAGAGCAAAATGGCCGTAGTTGACGTCGATGAACATACTGGTAGTACCGTGTTCATGTCCGTCGACGATGTGAAGAAGTCGGACGTCGGTCAATGGTCGAGTTTCAATTTAAACAACATGAATATCGTGCTGGCTGAGTATGATCTGGCCATCACGGGTGCTGCGCTCGACAAGTTGCAGTATGACTACGGCACGGACACTGTACACAAGATCATTCAGCAAACCCCAGTATTCGCACGCGTGAGGCCACAACAAAAGTCGTGGATTGTGGAGCAACTCATCTCGTTAGGCTTTGTGGTGGGAATGTGTGGTGACGGGACGAACGACTGCGGTGCACTGAAGGCTGCGCATGTGGGTCTAGCCTTGTCGAGTGCAGAGGCTTCAATCGTGGCTCCGTTCACTAGCAAAGCAAAGGCGATTACCGATGTACCAGTGTTGATTCGTGAAGGCCGCTGTGCTTTAGCGACGTCGTTTCTGGGTTTCAAGTACATGGTGTTGTACCCGATCATCCAGTTAGGCATGGCGAGTGTGTTGGCGCAGATCGGTGTTTGGGCTGGCGTCGACATTCAGCTCTCGGATATGCAATATTTCTGGGACGATCTTGCAATTGTCCTTGCTTTAGCAGTGTGCATGTTGTATACTAGTCCGTCGAAGTCGCTCTCCAACGAGAAACCTCCGAGAACATTGTTTTCACTGGAGGTCGTGGCATCTATCATCGGTCATATTGCGATCTTTGCAGTGTTCTTTGCACTGGCATTTGTGTTGATGACTCGCGAGAAAGAATGGTATTGCTCTATCAACGATTGGTTTGCCTACATGAAGAATGGTGACGTATCTGCTGGGTCAAACTGTGCAGTTTTCAAGGCGTACAATCTAGAGAAGATGCAGTTCTCCTACGAAGACACAGTGGTATGGTTATTTGTACATTTGCAGTACATTGTTGCGGCTGTCGCTTTGAACGTGAAGAATCCGTTTCGATTACCGTTCTACTCGAATCGAATTTTCACGATCGTGTTGATCGAAGAGCTCGTGGTGAATCTCTGGCTACTACTTGACAGCTCGAATGCTGTTAACGATATCTTTCAGCTTTTACCAATCCCCGTTTCATTCCGCTGGAAGCTGCTTGGACTCTTTGTTGGAGAGCTGGTTGTCTGTGTGAGCTGGGAGTTGATTGCAACACGTGTGTTGCCGAAGTGGAGACGACAACGCCAATAGCGTCCAAGTATTCACGTACTTACATTAAATGGTTGCTACATCTAGCTTGCTAGAGTTCTTCCTCTCGCAAGCTATCATCACTGTCACTGCTACTGTTACTACTGCAGTCACTGTCACTGTCGTAAAAGAAGATGGAGTTACAGTCCTTAATGGTTTCACCATAATACATGTAGTCGGAGTCAACCGAGAAATACGAGCTACATGACTGGTTTGTGTCGGTCTCAGCGACTGAGTTGGCCTTCTTTCGACTATCAAGAGTGCTGAGTCCACGTACCCGACAAATGGAGGAGTCATCGAATTGACTGATACCCCGTTCTCTTCGAGGAGACAAGTCGTCCAGAGCACTCATAGCGAGATCTCGTCGACGAGAGGAATCGTCCAGGGAGTTGACGTTCTGGTCCTTTTCAGCAGTTTCCTCCTCGAACTCAGCAGTTCTGTCGGAAAGCGTTGACAACCGACCTCGATTGAGTATCATAGCCCCACTATACGCTTTGGAACGTGTTGCTATAGGCAGCATGAATCGCTCACTCTCCGTCTCACTGTCGCTTCCTGGACCAATGGACCAGCACGTGTCCGATAGATCTCTCCAAGCGTCACCTTGTCTTTGATCAATAGGAATTGTAGTACTCAAATCGGAAGCTGTTGCTGCCGTTTGTGCGTAGGAGGTCGTCGATGCACGGGTGTCCATTGTACTCCTGTTTGTTTCACTGGATCGACTTGCACGTGAAGCTCTGAAGACCGAGAGACTCGGTAATGACGAACCTAATCCGCCACGCATCAGGAAAGACGCTGAAAATACCGACCGAACACTGATCAAGCTCGTCGTTCGAGAGGCTTGTGTACCCCTAGTGGATGGTAGTCCATTCATCGACGCGTCCTGAATATCAATGGAAACTTGGTCACCAGACTGATCTTTTGCTGACATTCTCGACAACTTAAACGTCTCCATGAGAGGCGGTCGCGGAGATGATACGACCGTCGACGCTGAGCTTGCTCCGAGGGTATTCGACGTTTGTTCTGATGTCGTCGTCGAAGTCACCCCCTGGAACGTCGAACTGCTGGGTGAGAATAACTTTGCTTCGTATCGACAACGTCGGGAACGGATAACGAGGAGAACAACCACGACGACGATCACCGAAGCAGCGATGATACCAACCAGCAGCGGTGTGCTCGCAACAGTGGATTCGCTAGGCTTGGTAACGCTGGAGTCTGACCCTGCGTGAGTTGGCGAATCATTCGAGTTGAAGCTGCCCGATAGCAAGACGGTATCCACTGACACGGCTTCAACGATGCCGGTGGAGGAATTTGAAGTGGTAGAAACCATCGTAACAGGAGTATTGTACTACAAGACCACTGGGTCCTGCTCCAAGCGCGAATAAGGAAATGTGAAACTGGCAGACCCGCACCATACCTGTCCACCGCTTTGAAAAATCTTTTCTACTTGCTAGAAGGAGCAGTCATGCGTCTAGAGCTCTCATATCCCACAGAACGTGGAAAGTATCGAAGCAGAATCGATGACACAAGACGAAGCGTACAGCGCACGGAAGTAGCCCAAGCCGCCTCCTCTTAATCCGAGCCACGTAAAGAATTGCTAACGCTGGGGGGGCAGTATCCACTCGCACTGAACATGTAGCCTTTTCGTGACTGTTTTGTTACACTCTGTCTCCTTCTAGTAAGACGGACCAAGTTACCAACCGCATGGCGGAATGGCAATAAGGCTTGCCAAATTGTGCGATCATCGCCTAATTGACCGAATGCCGTCTGACCCAAGCAAGGCTGCGTGGTCAAGAGTGCGAGTGCGGAGGCACCGATGGATGACAACACGTTACTTTTATTTACTAGGTCACCCCCACTGTTAACAATATCCACAGATCTACTTTGCTCGTCTGCTATCTGCCCCTCGTTCGGACAGACATCATTGGCGGGTCTAGAACTCGCGCTCTTTGAAGACGTTTTTTGAGTCCGCGAAGTCCGAGTTCACGGAGAAGAAGGACGCGTCCGAGCCTGCTGTGCTTCGGAACGCATCGGAGGAATGCTGTGTCGAGTGACCCCAGTCGGAATAGCCGTCTTCACTGTGGTCGTCGTCATCGTCACGAGGCGCCTCAATGACGGGAATGCGAGCCGTGTTGCTCGGCGCTGCATGGTAGTAGCTGTCGTCGCTTAATCCCGACGCCCCCGACCACGCCATTGAGCTCACTTCGCTCACAAACGAGTCGTCGTAGTTGTTTGTACCCTTAAACTTGTTGCTTTCGTAGCTGCTTTCATCGTAGCGACTGTCGCCATAATTGCTTTCATCGTATTTGCTCTCATCGAACCTGCTGTCGTCGAAGCCAGTGCTTTCAGCATAGTTGTTGTCGTCGCGACTGTAGCCCGACTGATAATATGACGGCGCAGCGTTCGTATACTGCGGTCGTCGATTCTGTTGAAGAGGAGTCGGGCGATTGCGTCCTGGTGCAACTACAGTTGTCGCCGATGACGCGACGGACGGTGCCAGCGACCTGGCCGTCTTGGGGGACAGAATGTCGTAGTCTGTAGGTAACGGGTCGTCGGGAATGTGGAAGGCCGGGCGCTTCGGTGCTGGGGGACGCGGTGGAGGTGGAGCTCGAGCATTCTTGGGAACTGGGTCCGACACGGGCACCGGCTTAATCGGCTTTTGTGGTCTAGGAGGTGGCGGAGGTGGAGCCTCAAACGCTGCTAGCTGAGCAAACTGCGCAACCCGTTCGTACGTGTTGCGGCCAGTGTACACAGTGCCGCCCGACGGCTCCGCTCCGTTGTTCGAAGCTGGCCTAGCCGCCTGCTTCGGAGACGCATGCTGCTTTGCTCTTTGCTGTTCGCGCGGCGGAGTCCGCATGGCTGGTTCTGCCTGGTATCCATTGTCTCGACGGCCACGTCCTGAAGTGGGCTCACGTCCTGGTTCTCTAAATCCACGGGGTCCGTTCGGAGCAAACTGGGCGTCAATGTCAGTGTTTTTCCTGCCGCGACCCGAAGTCGGCTCACGCCTTGGGCCTCCGAGAGGAGGGAACGGGGCGTCGTTGTCAGGGTTTCGTCGTCCACGACCTGAAGTCGGCTCCCGGCGTGGGCCGCCGAGCGGTGGAAAGGGCCCTTCATTGTCCGGGTTACGTCGTCCACGGCCTGAAGTCGGCTCGCGTCGTGGGCCCCCGAGCGGTGGGAACGGCGCATCCGATTCCTGTTTTCGCCGTCCACGGCCAGACGCCGGCTCGCGGGTGATGTCACGGGGACCGCCCGGGGCAAATTGCGCGTCAATGTCCTGGTTTCTTCGGCCGCGACTAGAGTTCGTTTCTCGGGAGCGCGGAGTGTTTCGTCCGCTCCGGCCCCCTCCACTCCTACCAGAATTCGTGGTCGGTGACTGCATCGCACGCGTGCGTCGGTCGAACGCCGGGAATGATGGCGTAGTAGACGACCTGCCCGTCATATTGGTCGGTGACGTCGCCTCGAAGTTGGTGCTGCGGTGGCTGCGATTCCGTCTAGATGCAAGTTTGCCCTCTGCTGCGGAACGACGCATGCAATAGGAACGTACGACCCACGAGACCAGCGCCACGAAAACAACCGCGACGACGATGATGACAATCATCACAGTCGTGCTCATGGAGTCGGAGGAAGCAGCAGTGCTCTTCACTGCTACAGTAGTGTCGGCGCCACTGGAACTGGAATTGGTACTAGCAGACGGCGTCGCGTTGCTCTCTGTCGTCGCCTGAGTGTTCGTGCTGCTCCTCGTAACGCTCGACTCGTTCTGTGACTCCGTGACGGTATTACCTGAAGTCTCCGAACTAACTGCACAAGTGAGATAGTCGTCTCCACTCGTGACACAGTCCTTTCCTTTCTGAAGAACCACGCAGACACCAAAGTACTTGGTTGTGCCGTTCACTTCTGCGTTCGCGGCGCTACGACAACTGCAGCCGTTTTTCATGCACGTATTGCCCATTTCCGAGCACAAGACGTACCCGACCGGCTCCTTCTTGTTGCCCGGGTCATTCAGATACAGCGCCTGCACGTCGATGCCGCAGATGTCCGAGGACGCGGACATGACCGGCAGTAGGGGGACGTCAGCTTGCAAGGCCAAAATTGCAATGAGAGCGAGCGCGGCACCATCGCCTCAACAGCAAAGACAGAGAGCAGGGCAGGGCCAGGGTGGGAAGATCGATAGTCAAAGCAAGAGACCCGAGAATCGGGAGCTCCTCGTCGAAGTGGGCAAAGCATGGGCAATACAGATCCGATGATAAATCCGAAAGGCATCTGACTCTCGATCGATTCCACATGCGGAACGGCATCGCGATCGCTTCTGCGGTTGATGGCACTGCGAACACTGAACTTCAGTGTTCGCAGACCTTCAGTCTGAAGGTCTCACTCCATGAGTGAGATACACCAACAGCTAATGGTCGTAATGCGCGCTGTTCCATCCGCTCAAAGGGCGACATCTATTTTCGATTATTTCACAACAAACACGCGATTTTTTGCTGTTTGGAAGACTTTTTAGCTAATTAATTTGCTGCTTTTGATATCCGGATCGCGGAGTTTCCGCAGTGTGGGAGCATGAAAATTGTTGCCTGCGTACGTGTCGGAAGCATCGCCGTGGTGTTTACCAACGCATGAAGATTTTTTGCAGCTTGAGTTGCGGCCTACGCGAACAAGCTACGTCAGACTTCCATATTATTTTTTAGTTTGAGCACCTTATTTTCTTAAAGTAAGAAAGCGTGAGTTCAAATGATAAACGCGCAGAGTACTACCATCATAGTACTACCATGTATCAACGCCGCTTATGCGTTCAAGTTTAAACGAAAGTTGCAGCGCGTGGACAAGCCATGCTCAGGATAAAGTGACCATTTTCACTTCAACATCGGTGAGCATGTAGAGTAGCAAGAGTACCAGCATCGATGTATTTTCATACCAACAAACCAGCATCAAAAGCCATTATCACCAATGCAGCTAGCGAAGTTGGAACTAACACTAAGTGTAGCCGACCACAACAGAACTGCACACGAGACGGCGACGCAGTGCATGGTGGCGTTGATTTCCACTCGAAGGAATGGCCGTCAACGTCGGCTGTTTTACAAGAATCGTAGCTCGCACACAGGCCGATATGGAGCACCACTAGTTGCAGTACTCATTCGTGGCCGATCGGCAGCGTGGCACGTCCTGGATCCAAACCGTTCAAAGAGACCTGGCAATTGTAAGACTGGATGTTGATACAGTCTCCAGGTTGCCTTTTGTATCCATGTCATTCTTCGACGGTGGATCACGTCACACTAACGGGGTTTCTCGACAGAGCCTCATACTATTGAGTCAGCTACTGTATTGTGCTGTAACCCACGGTACTCTCACAATCTTTGTTGGACTCAGTGGCAGAGTCTCAAGTGATCAAGGCTAAGATGGCGTCGTATCTCAAGAGCTACGTGTTCCCTCTGGCGCTAACGGCCGCGTGGAAAGAAGAGATCTCGAGCAAGACGCGCGAGAAGCTGACAGAGATGCTTGGTGTCGAGGTGGACAACGTCATGGCGGTGCGTACGATACCGAGTTTAGACTAATAATTAGTGTGGGGGGTGGCGTTCCTTTTGCGCCTTCTTTCCTGCCTCTAGATAGCGAACTCCACTGCGTTTTAGAGTCCAAATATCGGCGAGGCGACGGGAGGTGGCGGCGCTGGGCCAGAGGGACGGACGGATTAAGTGGCTTGCCTTCATCCGTCTCTGTATATGGAGCTTTGTATGCTTGTGAAAAGACGCTAAAAGAGGGTTTAAACTGGACCCCCAATTAGGAGTACGAGGTAGCGCCACCCCAGACGAAAAGAGACCAGAGGCATGACGTCCCTTGTGTATTGTATTATGACGACGACGACTACAGGAATACGTGATCGTCATGGTGGGCAACAAGAAAAACATGGAGCAGATCGCCCACGACCTCGTGGACTTTATCGGTGACGAGTCAGCCGAGCAGTTCGTGGCTTGGCTCAGTCAATTGCTGCCTACTTTTGAGGCCCGAGCTCACGATACTCCGGCCAAGGAGGTCTCCCGGCCTCAGGCAGAAGAAGCTCCGGTACAAGAGGAGCAGAAGGAGGAGACTGCCCCGCCCAAACGCGTTATCATTTTGAAGGGGTTATCTTCTTCCTCGTCCGAACCGCCCAAGAAGTTGGTGTCGCTCAGTGGAAATCGAGGCACGATCCGCTCTTTGAACCCATCGAAGACCGAGATGGACGATGTGATCGCTCGACGAGCTCAGCGGTTTGGTATCGTGGAGAAGAAACCAGCAGCCAAGAAATCTCCAACGTCGTCAGGAAAGGAGGATCGCCATCAACGTGATGAAGCGAAAACGACAGGAACCAAGCGGAGAGCAAACGAGCGGGATGGAGGCAGAGAAGGGAGCAGTCTGTTGTCAAAGCGACTAGGACCCCCGATTAATGTTGACCAGGCTGAGTTGGACGCTCGTGACTCCATTGGCTCCCACAAGAAGCGACGTGGTGATCGTGACCGTGAAGAGAAGCAGCACAGCGGAGGACGTGGTAACCGGAGAAACGACCGAGACCATGACATGGAAGGCGACGGCCGCAATGAAAAGCGCAGAAGTAACCGCGACGTGGCGCCACCTTTGCCGCCGTCGGACGAGAAGGATGACTTTAAAGGAAAGCAAGGCTATGGCCAAGGTATGGGCCCGCCGATGGGCTTCCAGGGCGGCCCGATGGGCTACGGCGGCTATCCTCCGGTATGTGATATGTTACTTACCTTGTGTTAGCGTGTTATTCTAATGATCTGTGCTTTTTTTATCAGCCGTATGGAGGCCCGATGTTCTACCCTCCACCAGGCTTTGGACCTATGAACCCGTACGCGATGGGCTTTCCGCCTCAAGGTATGCCGCCGTATGGTGGCCGCGGCTACCCTCGACCGATGCAGAACGGTCCTCGCGGTGCACGACCATTCCAGAACCGCAAGTGGGTTAACCCGAACGTCGCGAAGACAGAGGAAGCAAAAACCAACGAAGACAAGCCAGAGTCGGATACTACAGGTAATGAGGCGAGTGGTGCTTCACAAAACGCCGGCTTGAACGCTGGAGCACCAGCCTTTGCGCCACGCAACCCGTACTATTCATCGCAGATGCGTCCGCGCTTCCAGAACAAGACGTGGGTGCGACAGGACCCTGCCAAGGATGAGGAGCTGAACTCGAGCCTACCCAAGACTCCGCCCAAGGAACTGCTGGAGAGCACGGAATAAATGGAGATCCAGCTCCTTTGATCGCGCGATTGGCACCTATTAGAGGACAACCAAGCTGGTCAAGCCGAGACACCAGCCAAGCAAGCTTCAATGGGTGGACTACGTTACTTGTGACCACAGTAAACCGAAGTTACAAGAGTGGCAATGGCTTGTCCTGCCACCAGCAACTCGCGCAACATAAGGTGAAATAAAGGGCTGCTCTCGGCTAGGATTTTCCCATTTAGTCTCATAATCTTTCGTCGCTTATGTTAACGACGAGAACGACCCCAACCTTTACGGGCAGCAGATGCGGCGGCTCCACGCTTCGGTTCTTGAGACTGCGACTGGGAGGCTGCCACCATTGACAAGGGCAGTTTGCGTCGCGTTGAACCTCCTGCACGAGCTTGAGACATCTGTGACTGGGACTGGGACTGAGATTGCGATGGATCAACGATATCTTGACCACGAGCGTCTGCAAGTTGCGTGAACTGCTGATCCTCTTCGACATCATCAATTTCGTCGTTCTTCTGCTGTTGCTTCTTGAACAAATTGTCGATCTTGTGTTGCTGGGAAATCGTGGTCTTAGTGGGCCTCGCTCGCTTTTTAGGTGCTGGCTTTTCGTTTTCAGAGTCTGAGCACAAATCGAGCACCTCACTTGCTTGTGAGTCACGGGGAGCTGAACGCTTGGTCGAAGCAGCTACACGCTTGCTAGAAGAGGGAGCAAAGTCGTCGTCATCATCATCTTCATCAAAATCATTACTTTTGCGTAAGCGCTTTCGAGTGGGCGGGGACTTCTTTGCTTTTGCAGTTCGTGCTGACGCTCTCCCTCGTGGTTTCGCGGACGGCCGTGGAGTCATCTCCTCCTCCTCCTCTCCATCCTCTTCCATCTTAAAGTCTTCGTCGCCGTCATCTTCAGCAGTAAAGTCATCATCATCAGAAAGTGAAGCTCTCCGTGCCTTGCTTCTTGCTGAACGAGCTGGAGCCTTACGAGCGGTCGGTGGTTTCTTCTTACGTGGACTTTCATCACTGCCTTCTTCCAGATCTGAGAAAACAGATTTCCTAACAGATTTTTTCTTTGATGCTGCTTTCTTCGTTTGTGAAGATCTCGGTGTGCCGAAGCGATTTGGAGACTTCGTCGAGGCCTCAGTGCTTTGAGTTGTCCGTCGGGACTGGAACCCGTCGGCAGATAGACTGCTTCCAGGCTCGGTTTTGTCAAATTCTGCTTCTTCTTCTTTTTGGAGTGCGTGTAACGCATCAGTTTGCTCTTTCTTCTTCCCAACAACGCTGAGGATATCCTGCGTCGACTTGGCGTCACTCTTGGAGCTCAATTCACGTTGAGTCTCATCGAGCACACTGTCCACGAATTCCTGAATAGCCGACGAGTTGTTCTTCAGCGTGAATTTTTCCAGCGCGATTCCCAGTTGAGCTTCTGGCAGCAGTGTCAGCTTTCGTTCGGGTACACTCAATTGCTTGCTTAATATATCTTCAATTGTCACCGATGCTAGCGGTGTTGGCCGCACTGGACGTCCCAGCAGCGACTTCTCCAGCTCCATGCTGGCCTTCTTGTCGGAAGCATTGATACGATCTTTCTTCCGTCGGTAGAACAGCAAAATATCATTGGGATTGGCCACCTTTCCCACAAATTTCGCACCGAAACGTTGATTTACCAGCACAGGGAAGCCCGTGTGTTCCACGCGCAATCGGATCAGCACCAATTCCTTTTCTTCCTCTTCATTTCCGACCTCTGGCAGCGGGAACGGACTCTCGTGCTGTCTTTGCTCACGTTCCAACGCACGCTCTCTCCGTCTCTCCTGCTGTTCTAGCTCAGCCTCATGCAGTAACTCAACCACTCTGCCTTCTAAGTACTCTCCAATACGTTCTGCCACATCAGGGTCGGTCGGCTCCAACTCCTCAATCTCGCTCAAAATCACCTCACCCATCTTAAAAAGACGTACTGTATGCAGGTCGAAGTTCGTCATGCGGAATCTCTGACCATTAATTTCCGCCACTGCAACTTGTTTCGGCTTGGCCTCTCCTTCCACCAGCGACGTCGCTACCGACGATCCGGGCTGCGTAATGAAAAAATCCCCCTTCAAACTCTCTTGGACGTTAATTTGGCACTCGTGTTCATGTCCCCACACTACAAGATCAATGAAATCCGGGATCACACTCTCCGGGACGCAGTTCTTGTTTCCTCGTCCTTTATCGTCTCGGTTCTGGTGCACCACGAAGATACTGAACCAATCTTCCGCTTGTTCTGCTGGTCTTCTGAACGCCACTTTCCCCTGTGCGAACATTCTGTTCAGCCTCTCATCTCTCATATTACCTAAACCATAGATGGCCACTCTAGTATTTCCCTTGGTGAGCAGCACCGGGAACACCTCGACCGCATCCACTTTCTCACTTTTACCAAAGTAATTAATCAAGTTGGCAGCACTCATGAGATCCAGCGCCGCTAGAGACTGCGTGGCGTCTCCACCTCCTTCTCGTGCTGGGTCGTCGTGGTTGCCATGGATACTGAAGATGGGCAGCTCAACGTTGTAGTTGGGGTCCTCAAAGTTCACAACCCCAAAGTTAGGAAAGTTGACACTCTGGTCACTCACCACTTGAAAGTTAACGGCTCCATCTCCCATGCAGTGAGTACGTAGCACTCGCATAGTTTCGTACAACGTGCGGCGACTCGGCTTGTTCTCGTGGAACAGATCGCCGCCCAGTAGCAGCAGATCCACCTTCTCGCGCTGTGCTAACTGTAGGATTTCACGGAACGAGCGGAACGAGTCATTGCCGCGCACCGGGTCCTTCTCAGCATAGCCTAGGTGGTTATCTGTGGATAGCAACACACGCAGCGTGTCGGCCTCATGCTGACCGTCCTCTATCGCCTGAGACTGCGACATCAAGCAAACAAAATGGAATTTGACTCGAACCTTCGACAAAATCGATTTTTTTTTGAAAATTATTATTTATTTGTAGTTTTCAAAACAATAATTTGAGCAACTATTATAGTGCTTTTCAGAAATTCTGCCGCGCCTTAATTCTATTCCCTTCTCAGCCTTAACTACATGTGTGTTAATTGGGGATTGCCTCATCTCCGCCGGTTTTATGGTTCCTCAAATTGAGTAGCCCACCGCTACTCAATATGGGGTTACAACTTTGGACAAATTTATCAAAAGGGACCGCAAATGATCTCATTGGCCGAAAATGAAAATTAACCCTATTGCAAAAATAATGAC